ATTTTCCACCCATGCCCTGAAGGCAGAAGATCGTTTTTCTAATGAATGGGAAGCCATGCAGTGCTCTTAGGTTCCATTAGGCTTAGGAAACTGCTGACAGGGTTTTCAGGTTATGTTATCAGTTTTGGATGTAGGCAGAATTTAGACACCTGGATTCTCTTGAAAGTGCTTAAGTCTTTATTTAAATTTAGTCCCAAGTTCTTCCTGTGAGGCACTCTGAGGCCCCCTCAGTTCCCAGGCATGTACCAAGGATACTGGAAATGGGTGAGCTCTTAGGGACTAACATATTCTAAGTACTCATATTTACCTGGAGTATGGCAAAAGACACCAAACAAGGACAGAGAGAGAAACAATCATTGTGTATAGGATCCTTGTGTCAGGATCAAGGAAAAGACTCACTTTGGTGTCATTTGCATACAAATTCAAAATCCTCATCAATTTAATGGGAGTCTGGAATAGTCATGAATTGTTGGCTAAGATACAGACTGGAAAAGTTCCCCAAAAAGTGTTTCATTACTCATGTGGGTGTGGGGAAAGTGTTATAATTCATCAACTGTATCTGAGTAGTTATGTTACTTTATCACTTTCTAAGCCAAAGTGCTATTTTTAAATTGAATTAAAAATTGCTACTCATGCAGTTATCCAGTGGATAGTCTCCAAAACAGGATTTCTGTAACTGTCTTGGGTCAGAAGAACATGATGAATCAGCATGCAAACACCATCAGTTTAAATTCAATTAATTCCCTTTATATGTTCATTCACCCAGTAAGATGTGGTTTACATCCATCCCTCATAATTCACTCCCAAGGCTTGCTCACTTTTAAATGTAAAAGAATCTAAATGTAGTATAATTTATTTAATTCAGAACCAGAAAAGTGGAGCCTTAAGAGAAAAAAAAAACAAAACAAAACAAAAAAAACACGCTAATAAATTCTTAAAGGAAACTACTATTCACTGGGGCACAATTATCCCACCGAAGCCTCAGTAACTCCTACCTTTCTCCAGAGCTACCCCTCGTATTATGGATAGTGAGTACAATGAAGGTAGTATCAATTGTCTGAGTATCAAACTGTCTTGCCTGTTTAATTCTTATGAAATTTGAAAAGGTTGAAATACTCTTGTCTCGCTGTCACATCTGTTTTAGTTCTGACAGACCTGCCTGTAAGCAGGTAGCCTTCTTCTAAAGCAGGGGCTTAAATAAGATAGAGATACCTCAAAAATAATGCACTCATCTCAGGTCACCCTGATAGAGATCTGTGGAGGTTTTAATGTTGTGAAATAAAAGGAAATATATGATCTGAAGAGAAGCATAATAGTCCAAATCTTTGTATTGTTAAGGACATTATCTCATGATCTCCACATATCTATTTTTGTGGATAATGAAATTACATTTTCAGACTAGCTTCTCTCTTGTGCACCCTGTACAAAGTTAAAGATCCCCGTAATAGCATACTAACATCTACTCTGCAGTCTTAACATTTATAATACTTAAAGTAGAAGCAACTTAAAAAGTATAAGCAGTGCTTGATGTGTCTGACTAGGAAAAAAAGATGTTTTTTTTCCAACAGAATGAAACTAGCCCCTTTGTAGACTCCATACTAATCTGCATCTTTCAGATCTTTTCAACAGATAAATTCAGATGAAAAATGCATCCGCCACTAAGGACTGTGCAGCAAAATATCTCTGTGTGCAACAGGCCTGCCAGCTGCTGGCATTTCAGGGTTCTTGGTGGCATAAGCTGAGTAGCATATATTTGTGCAAGGGAAACAAATCAAAAAGCCTCTTCAATTTACTCATTTATCCTGTTTGGAAGGGCCTCAAAGCTTCTTTTTTTACCAGCTATATTTGTTTCTCTAACAAAAGATATTACCTCTCCCTACAAACCTTGTCTAACAGTTTGTAACAAACTTTTTTTTTTTTTAAAAAAAACTTTTTTTTTAAAAAAAAAAAAGATAAATTCAATAGTAACATTCTTTCAGCTATTTACCTTCAATTGATTCTCATATCTACTTCAGAAAGAATCTAGAGGTTTAACAATGAAAAATTTAAAATATCCAACTTACTTGCTGCCTCTGCACTGTCTGGAACAGCCTCATCTTTCCCTCCAGGAGAGACTTTATTGGATCACAACAAAGGTTTCCTAATCCATCCTGAAGAACCAAGTGGCAGTGCAATTCACAATTATGCTTCAAAAATGTTCCTTTTTTTTGCCCCATCTTAACCCTTCTCCCTAAACAAAACGTCTCCCATGTGACCCCAGGACATTTAATTGTGCTACAAGGTTTAAATGTATCTAAATGGCACTGAGGATAGCGGCCAAGTTGATGAACGATGAATTTCATTTATTCTTTCCCTGCTTCTGGATTTCTAGGTTCATCTTGTATTTGTATTCTTTGCACTGAGATAATAAGGGCTGTATCATCAGAGATCTTCTCCACCTGTCACACATGCAAGTGCTTCCATCGAACCCATGGAAAAATGGTCCTTGTGAAGATGGTCTGACCCTCTAATACACTATATACACTGTGATTTGCAAGCTCCTATACCACATACAATGCTTTATCCAGAGGTAGTAATTTTTTCAGAGATAAATCTCCCGCACTGATCGTTCAAGGCTTTCTTAACTACGTAAGAACAACTGTCAGTAAAATAGAGCCATTAAGATCAATGCTACACTGGTAACACTTCATCATTCACATTTAATTTTCATCATTTCTCCCTGATTTGCATACTTTGTACATATTCACTATTCAAAGATTAGTTAACATCCCAAGCTAATCTTTGTCCTGACTGAGCAGTGTTAAAACAGTATAAGATTATTTATTTTTAAATAGGATCACAAATCATGGAGATTTTTTAATTCTTTATTTCCAAGTGGTAGAGACATTTTGCTAATGAACTGCTGGCTTGTATTCCTTTATGTATGATATCATCTATCGTAACTATACAATGGATTTGGGTGACAGAGGTTAAAGCATCATGATTCACAGAATTTTAATTTCAAGTAGGGAGTAGACAAAAGTACAATGAATTATGAAGAGATCATGTTCAATAAACATTCAGCGATAGAAGTAGGAATGAGAGAGACAAGAAGAGAATTCTGGTTAATGAAAATCAGTCACTCAAAATAGGTTATATTCTGTTCTAAATACATAGCTGTATCTCTTGTTGACATTTTGGATGGAGACAGGAGTGGAAGGAGAACGGAAAGAAGACAGCATGAGATGCAATCATCACTTTGACCAGTTCAGTCAAAGCTCCTGTTCAGCATACAGCAGTGACCTCAAATGTTAAGCTAAGAAATGAAAAATAGTAAAACTAAATTACTCCGGTGCTACAGTGTGGAATCAGTCACACATCCTTACTTGGGCAAGAAAGCATTGTGTAAAATACAGTTAAATGTTAACCTGTCTTCAAAAGGTTATTAGAAATGGAGGTGGAGAGCTCAGGGATAGACATCAAGAACAATCAAAGAATGGAAATACTTTATGTGGAGAGAGTGGAAAAATGAAATCACCTATCTTAAAAATAGGATAGAAAAACAGATGATAACATCGGAAAGGTAGATAATCCTATTCAGATTTTCTTACAATACTGGAATTAAGTTAAAATCAAATTTCAAGGCAACAAAACCAACAAAAACAAAACAAAACAAACAAAAACCACAAAAAAAAAACACAAAACACCACCCTTTGATACTCAGTCAAAGTCTGTATGTGGATTTCATTGCTACAGGTAACTGCTAGCATTATAACAGTCACAAAATAAAGAGCACTGGAGCAGGGGATGCGTATACATTAATTAAAGTTTTGAAATTAATATAAACCATGATGCTCCTTGGCATGAAACAACCCCTAGTTATTGTGGGAAACTCTTTTGAAAGACTGTTTCTTTGCAGAAACCTAATGTAGAGTTCTTTCCAAAAATTTTCCAAAAGACAGTCAAGGCTACTGGTGGATATTCAACTTGATAAACTACTTCTACAGTCTAGTTAGGAAGTTCTTCAATTTCTGCTAATGGTATTGAGTTGTAATGAAGTCTCCCTCTAGATGCTAAAATTCTTGGCAAGGGATTTAGGCTGTGGAAGAGAGAAGTTACAGGCTGCAACTTACTTTAGAAAGGGACCTGCATGAAACGAAGGAATCTGTTAGCCTTCCTCTGCAGAGGAGAGCTTAGACATGGGCAAATGTGACATCTTAGGTATGGCCTTAACATCAGAAATGAATGCCTAAGATCGTCTTCTGCAGACTGTATACACCTCCTTATTGCTCCAGTGCCCGTATCTTTTGGGAGAAGCTAAATGTCAATAAGCATAGCTTGGTTTTTAAGAGGGCAGAATTTTTTTAAAAAAAAGCAAAAACTTGAAAGCAATTTTTCCTTCAAACAAAACATTATTTGTCAAAAATTGTTCTGTTAGTTGAAATGGAGCTATTCTAGGATTGCCCTAGAACAGTGATAAAACCCTAATAAGCTGTAATTCCTGCGCCACCTCTGATCTGGTAAAACTGAACTCCACTGAACTCACTGAGGTTATGCTGTCACCAGTTTTGGAAGCATCAGCTCAAATCTAGCTGTGGTATAAAGCAGTTTAGAGACAGACGTTGCAAATTTCAAAGCAGCTGCGAGTGCCCCATTATTTGTACAGAGCCACAGTCTGGCTCCGGTTTCGTTCCGACCCCTGGACCCTGTAAGGACGGCAGAGCAGTTTCCCCGGGGGATAACTCGGCACCTGAGGCAGCACGCACCGCCCCGGCGGGCTCCTTCGAACAGGAGAGGCTGCGAGGTTTCCTCTCGCCTCCCTCCCTGCCCTCAGCATGTCTGCAGCCCGTTTCCGAGGGACCCGGAGGAGGCAAGAGAGACCCCCCGGCCGACCCGCTCACGGCAGTCCCCCAGCGCCGGCGGCCACCCTCGGCCCCCGGGGCGGCGGTGCCGGTGCCCCCGGAGCTCGGGCAGCGGCGGGAGGGCGGGGGGGGGGGGCCGCGGGGCGCCGGGCGTCTCACCTGTCGATACTGATCACGCAGAGAGTCATGATGGAGGCTGTGCAGCACATGACGTCCATGGCGATGAAGACGTTGCAGAAGAGGCGCCCGAAGATCCACTCGCCGCCGATGAGGTCGGTCACGCTGACGAAGGGCATGACGGCTAGGGCCACCGAGAGGTCGGCCAGGGCCAGCGAGACGATGAGATAGTTGGAGGGTTGCCGCAGCTTCTTCACGAAGCAGACGGAGATGACCACCAGGCAGTTGCCGGCGATGGTCAGCAGGGTGATGAGGGAGAGGACGGCCCCGATGACAACTTTCTCCACGTTGCCGTAGCTGAGGATCTGCTCCCCGCACTGCGAGTCGTTGGCGGGGAGGGGGCTCGCCGTGGGCAGCGCCGACGGGGGGGGCGACGGGCCGAGCCTCGCCAGGCTGCGCGGGGGCCAGGAGCCGGCGATCATCCTGCCGCCGCTCAGCGCCCGCGGGTCCTCCAGGACCAAGGGCCGGAGGTTACCGTAGAGGTGACTGCCGTTGAGGGCGAGGACCATGTTGGCGTGAGCTGCCCATGAAGCCCCTCTGCCCGCTCGCCGGCTCTCCCCGCCGCCCGAGATGCTCGGGCTCCTCCTCGGGCACCCACCGCCGCCCGCCCCCTCGCAGCCGGCGGAGCGGCCCGCCGGGGGGCCCAGCCTTCAACTTCCCCCGGAGCAGCCGGGCTCGCCCATGGCGCTGCCCGGGCGGCCGGGGGGTGGGCACGGCGCCATCGCCCCCAGCCCGCGGGGAGAGGGGCGGGCGGGCGGGGGTGGCGGCCGCTCCCCGCCCACCCGCGCCCACCGCCCGCTCCCACCCGCGGCTGCTGTTCCTCCGACGGCGGCGGGGGACGGAGCGGCAGCCGCTCCGCCCCCCGCTCCCTCCTCCCCTGCGAGCGGCAGGTAGGGGGAGCGCCCCTCCACCGCAGCCCGGCCGCGCCACCGCCCCGGCCCCGGCCGGCGGCTCCTCCTCCGCGGCCGCTCCAGGCGGGGGGCGTCTCGGGACCCCCCGCCCCCCTAGATAGATAGACAGATTAGATGGATAGATAGATAGATGGATAGATAGATAGATAGATAGATAGATAGATAGATAGATAGATAGATAGATAGATAGATAGATAGATAGATAGATAGATAGATAGATAGATAGATGATAGATAGATAGATAGATAGATGGATGGATGGATGGATGGATGGATGGATGGATGGATGGATGGCACCCGAGGAGCTGCGGGCGGGTGGGTGCGCCTGGAGCAGAAGCGGCGGCAGGCTGAGCCGCCCCGGCGGGGCCCGGTGAGCGGGGCCCGGTGAACGCCTCCCGGCGCGCTTGCTCCACTGCAGCCCAGCATCGACATCGGCTGGTTCGGAAGTGGCTCTGGAAGTGTGCGTGCTGAAAGATTCGGGTCCAGCAGGACCCTGGCTGCTGCTTGGAGGGTTAACAGTGTCCTCTCGTGTAAGAAATATCCCCCAACAACACGTCACGTTCATCTCAAGTATTTATTTGTATCTTCAATTTTACAGATTCTCCTTCCTACTAAATTAATGCCAATCCCATTACCTAGATTTTAATCTTTTATTAATATTTATATAGGATTATTTTAAATTTATTTACAGTTCCGTACGTAATCTTTTTAGTAAAGTTAACAACAAGAAAATCCCATTGCTTTGAATTACCTGCTTTTCCTGCAGATTCCTTGAACTCTTGGATACTAGCCCATTTCTGGGGCTCAGTAGTGTTCCCGATCCTTTAAGTCATATTCTTGCCTCCAAGTGGGGTGAAAACTGACTGAATTCTCAGTTACCCGTGGGATGCCAACAGAAGATTACACCTCTTGGTATAGTAACATGCTAGATAGGAAGGATTAAAACCAGGAAGCACCTGCTCCTGAGTGTCCCCTTGTATTTCCAACAAGAGATAGAAGCCAGATGAACTAGAGAAAGAGAGGAAATGAAAGGAGGACCGTTGACCCCAGATGGATCAGTAACCATTGCCCAACGTCAGTGATACCTGAATGAGGAGAGGTCTTGCAGGTAGCAACACTATAGCAAGTTTTATTTAAATATGGATCAGACAGAGAGAAGAACAGCGTGTGTGGCCCAGCAGCAGAAGAAGTTGCAGTATGATCTCACATCATACAGACATAAAAATCTGCTTTGAAGGAAGACCTAGCACATACCCAGCTATCAGAAAAAAACCTCATCTGACATTCATAGACACTGCTGAAACATAAATCCATAGCAATTGAGGCTTCCATTGTTGGCTCACAGAATTTCTTGTTTTTAATGAAATCTTCCATTCTGTCAGCATCACCTCTTCTTGAAAGCAGGTTTTCTATCATATGTGACTCCGCATTGGCCCAGCTCCTCCGTGAGCATGCATGGGACTGAGGGTTGGGGTCAGATGTGTCTGACAATCTGAGCGGAGGCAGTCTCCTGTGGTCAGAAATGCAGCAGGCAGTGAGCAGGGTTTGGGAGTTCAGTTGCTTTCTTTCCCCACATCTTGATTTGATTAAGGTAATAAAATAAGCAAGTTTCACATGGCAAGAATGAGATCTAGTTGAGCAGCTCTTTGACCATTATTGAGCTGGAAGTGTTTTCCTATTTAGTCACGTATTTTCCTGCAGTTTGTTAGTTGCCTCACTGTGTCCTCTCACAGAAAAGGCTTTCCCTGTTTAACCACCCAGAATGTGTTCATGAGCCTCGGGCTTCAGGTGACTTACTACTCCAGGGTGATAAAGCAAGTCCTTTTTCCCTCCTCCCCAGCTAAGCAAATAGCTAAGCAAATTATAAATGGCAAGGGTACATCAAAATAAGTTAAAGCATTAAGGCAGAACATGGAGAAAGGAGACTATTTCCTCATTGTATGAATACATTTTTAAAAAATAGTGTCTGAAGTACAGCTAAGGAGATAGGAACTGGGTAAATTTTGTTCAAAATAGATTCATATCATAAAAGCTGATAACATTGTACAGTTTAATACTCACTGTAAAAGCAATTTTTCAGTTGCTTAAAATGTCACTAAAGCAGAGCAAATTATAATCTGGTGCTTCCTGCAAATGTGTTGACACAGTTCATTAAATCAGTCATTCTTCTTGACAGCTTTTCAATACATTTCTGGAACGTGACTCTAAGTGTACTCACTGGATGATACACAGAATCATTTGCATGTTACTCTTACCCATTCCAACCTGAAAGGAGGATTTAACCTTATCTTTTGTTCTGTACCTTAAATTCCCATACATTTCATTGGAAGTTAATCACCTGATTTCTTTCCTTCTCAAAGGTCTTACATTACCATTATTTGCATTTACTCTCATAATTTTGTCTTTGAAGAGATGAACCAATTTAAGTCAGCTTATGTACCATATAGAAAGGGGTTTACATACTATTGCAGGGAAAATATGAAACCTTAGCACAATGAAGCAGCTGATACTTCTCTAAAATATTTTCCTTGAAAGATTTTCACTAGGACACACCTAGAGTAACATTCCAGTTTCCAGGGCTGGGCTGAATCTGGTGAGGTGCTTTCCTTGAGGGCTTTAGAGGCTTTTGTATGCCTGGTGTTTGGGAAAGTGGAGAGCATCCATCACTCCATGAGACTACAGCTGTCCCGTGTGTTTAAAATAGCGATACATGAAGGTAGGAGTTGATCCTTCCAAGTGTACATCCCACTTTTGTCTTCAGTGACCCTATTTACAAATCCCAACAAGTTCCAGACAGCATACACAAATGAAACAAGTGGCTGATTGGGTGTCAAGAATAACAAGATAACACTTGTTCTCCCCCATGATGCTACTTTTTCACCTGCCATTAAGCTTCAATAAATATCATCGAATCAGTTTTTTGGCTGAGATTAGTAATGTCCTGTCCTTTGAGTGATTTAGGCTTTCTATGTATAAAAGCCTCTTCATATTTCTGTATACCTCTGACTCTGTGCTAAGGCTCTCGTCCCTCACTCTTCATGCATTTATTGAAGTTAAATTATTTTGTTCACACCTGATAATGTACTTTATTTGCAAGCCTCATCTTTGATTGTTCATTTTTGTTATATAAAAATGTTCTAGATTAAAAAAAAAAAAAGGGGGGGGAATGGAACCTTTTCCTTTTTTTTTTTTTTTCCTCTTCTGTTTGATTTTCTTCCCCTCTTCCAGAAATAGTGTTAATCGTATAACATCTTCTGCATTTGTGATTCATACTAAGTGTATAATATGACAGTGGGTATTGGTATCAATTCTTTGCTCCCGTGTTAATGAGCTGATGTCAGATAGACATCATCAGAGCCAGCTAAGGAAATACAATTTCCCCAGTACATGCTGATTTAGTGAGGCCAGACTGTATCTATCAAAGTGTTTCTGTTGGAAGAACTTGCACTAAATCCTGGACCTTCGTCCCTCTCCAGAGGATTTAATGCTTGCAGAGTCTGTCAACACAGCAGGTCTTTGCTAACTTGGAGCACCCTGACTGAAACGGGTCAAGGAGTGCAGCACAAGAACTTCACCAGTGGAGGAGAAAGTGTTGACAGCCCAGCATGGTAACTCTTTCCCCCACACAGCCACCTCTAGAAAACAACAGCTGTGCTCATCTTAGCACGAAAGCTTAAAGGTGCTGCTACATTCCCCTTCTTAAACAATTACATGTTGGACGCACAGCAGGAAAGTAACACAAGTATGAAATGTAATAAATAAACAGACGTTCCCTTTTTTTGTCCTTCCTTGCCTGAGCCAGTCTATCTTCATAAACTTTTGCTTTAATTTGTCTTTTATATTTTTTTCCCTTTCCTTTTGTTTTCACCATTTTTTCTTGCAAACCAGTATAAGACTAGTGAGGACCTGCTGTTGGGAACAATAAATAAAGTATAGGTAAATGTTTCTTCTGCCTTGGGGAAATACGTTGTCAAAATGTTTAAAATATTTTACAGAGACTGGTTAGAATTCCATGGACAAATATTACAGAAACCTCAATTTTTATTCACAGCATGTACTGTTTAGCAAAAACCACTCTTTCTCCAACTTATAGCAAAGATGTTGCAGCTGTTTTCTTTTCTGCCTTTTCTTGTCTTTGTGCAAATAAATCATCACCACTCTGTGGCAGTAAACCAGAGAGGTAACTGTTCTTATCTTTGGCATTTCTTATAATTGTCAAAATAAATACTCGCATCTGTGCAACTTAAATGTGAAATTATGTCTTCCCTTTTGGAACCATCAAATACTAACAGCAGCAAGCTGTCATCTGAAAAGAAAACAAACAATTAAGGTGAAATTTATGCTAAAAATTCTGTATCACTCAGAAAATCAGAGCTCCCACCCTTGAAAATTCAGTCTGCACCTTTACAAAGGAGGTTACTGAGGTTATGAGGTTATGATAAAAGTGACTGTGACATTCATGTTACTGAATTGCTGAGATAGGTAGTACCAAATAATATCTTAGCTTCCTAAAAGTGCTCAATGCAAAACTAAAGCAAAAAAATCTAATCGTTGCTACCATGGGCTGCCCATTGAAAACACATTAGAACAATTGTTAAATTAAATTAAATTTAAAAATTTATCAAAAGGACTGCCTTGAGATTTAAGTGTATTGAGAAAGAAAACACCTGGAGGGAGGAGATCTGGCTTCACGAGGAGGACTTCAGGACACCAATGAAAGAAAGCACGTCAGAAGTTTGTGGCCTAATGCTGAGGACCACAAAGATGTTTTCAGTAGATCACTGGGGCTGGCCTAAACAGAAGTGGTAAGATCTGAGTCATTAATGTAGGAAATAAGGTTGTACACTGGTCTGAGTATATGATTCATGATACCTGATGCTGAAAGTGCTTCATACTCCAATTCTTACACCATTATAGCAAATAGGGTTCTGCAGATCTGCTGCACGAAGATCTGTTTAAATGTT